TGCTGCTTTCTTGGCTGGGCTTGGTTGTTCACAGTCTCTCTTGGCTGAGGTGCCGAATAGCGAGAGCCAAGCCTCACGATTAAGCTCGACATTGGACGCGCCGAAGATCCGATCAAACTCAGCGCTTGAGGAGGCTGTAGGCCAAGCAGTGACCAAGAAGAAGAAGCTAATCGTAATCGCTCCATGCAGCTCATCATTCTGTGGACGGAATATAACCCTGTCTGATCCCCCATCGCCCATCGCTCACTATCGCTCCTCACCCAAATCTCCCACCAACCTAGCCACCCTAGCAACTTCAGCCCAGCTCCTACAGTGCTGTCTGTCTGTACTACTCCAAATTCGTCCCCTGCCGCTGGTTTAATTTGACCAAAAATCTTCCGGGCCTCTCTTCACTGAAGCGAAAGTGAAATCTCCTTTTTCTTCAGTGACAGGCAACATAACTGCCTCATTGTCCTTCTTTGCACTCTTCTCCTCAGTGACTTTTCTCTCAAAAGCTCGAGATTACGTGCAACCGCTGAGGCTTTGCTCTTGCGGGAGACGAAAACGGTATCGCGCCCGCTTACACGCACTCTCAACGTCCATCTGAACTTGCCCCATATGGTACTACAGCCACAGTCAAGAGTCGATGTAGTCAGGGACTGAGCAAAATCGCTGTTTTTTCTTTACCTTTTCATTCTTCTTATTATCAACCCGTATTTAACTCTCGACCGACGATCAAATGACTTCTCATTCTACATACTCTGAATCCACCGAAACAATGGCGGACACTATCACCACTACGAGTACCGCCAAGCCTCGAAGGAAATCAAGAGAACCAAGAGACACAGGATTCCCAGAGCCCTTGAACAATGGTAAGTATTTAGTCAATATCCAACTATTGCGAGGTGATGTCCGTTTCTAATCATTTTATAGTCCGAAACACTACGCTGCCACATCCAGATGCGGATCTTTCACCCAACGCCTGTCTCACTCAAGAAGATATTGACCCTGACCGGGCACTTATGCGAACCCGGCGATCTTTTCTAAGGAAGAAACGACGCACTCTCAACCATGGGCGCATTACCCCCACATCAGAAGCTCTCTACAGTGTATTCTCCTTGGTTCAGTCTGATGTTGGAGATAACGAGAGTATCAGAGCCGGCAACCCATCTATGAACAGCTTCCGCCCATCTACATCAAGCATCCGACTCTCCAAGGACGAAACCGATAGTCTCGCATCTAGGACCACGAGGAGAGACGAAGAGGACACACCACCGACTTCGCCCGACGTACCAACCCATCGCTCTAAGAAAGGATTTATGAGCAAGTTTCGGAGGGGCTAGAGGTGTTCCTGCTAAACTCTTCCGAGCAAACGGTACACCTCGCTCAGATCGAAACGATCATGATTTCTACAACGACGTATACGGCCGAATCTAATGACCTGGACGACCACATCACTGAGATGCTTTTCTTCCAAAAAACAAAAAAAAAAAATCACTCTTTTTCTTTTCTTTTGTGGACAGCGTGGCGTTTACTTGGATCACGGTTTCTTGATCGGCAAGGAGAAAGTATTACCTGGCAAGCAGGGCAAATACTTGGATATTAAAGTCCCTCTGGTAGGGCAGAGACAGCAATGTCACTCATATAGCCAGTTGGCTTGGCTTGGAAGGAAGTAGCCGACACGGACACTCTTTTAAGAATTAATAAGTAGCTTTACCGCTATTATCAGAACATTGTCATTGTCTCTGTGCTCTCGTCATATCATGCGAGTGGTATTCGTAAATTGGGTTCCAAAAGTCGCTATGATAGTCATCGGCATCGGTTGTTTCTCATGAGATTCAACCCGCTATTCTAGTCATTTTGTTCTAGGTAATACGGAGAACTGCTACCACCCATTTAGCTTCCACGGTAGGAAGTATAACTGTAGGGACTCAACAGTAGGGGAACATGATACGTCTGTCCCTCTTCAACACGAAATGTTACCGTCACTTCAGGGAAGAAGGTATTTTCTTCGCCAAAGTAAGCTCCCGTATCAAAGCGCAGCGTCCATCGCGACGAACCCTGTCCCTTGCGATCCTCAAGTACCTCAACGAGAGTCTGAAGAGGAGGCTCCCCAGCAGCATCCTCAGAAAGATATGGTAACCAGGCTGTAACGCGGCCATCGTCATCGGTCATGGATTCGAAGGTGTTGGGCCGAGGTTGGGCAGCAGAGTGAAGGTTGGTCGACGGTGGGATGGGGCCCTCAAGACGGACGCGGATGCCACGAGCAGGGCGACCAGCCTGTGTATCAAGAACGTGACACGTGATAGGGTCTTTGGTGGGAGAAGCCATCGTGATGGTTGAATTTGGTGTGCAAAGTGATTGGCTGTGGTGTAGGTGATAGTAATCCGATATTCGGTGAGGTTGACGTCAAGGTGGGGGAGGTGCAAGCTGACGGCAAAAGCTTTGAATTGAGGTAGTTCAGTCAGGTAGAATGAGAATATCGGAATTCTCTTAACACCTCTGGGATTTATCGAGTTGTATGTTTACAATCCGAGAAAGATCAAGGCCAGGATTGTGAGGAAAAGGAGGGGAATCTAAGTAGAAAAGTGAGGTGACTGAGACAGTGAGAGAGTTATTTGCGGCTGCACAGCCTACCTATTAGCAGAGAATCAGCGACTTCAGCTGGGACTGCCTTATTACTGCCTGACTGGTACTTAGGTAGGTAAGTAATTTGAGACCCAATTATAAAGTTTGAGCCAAGCTGATTCTACAGATAAGCAATTCTTAGGACTTGATAGCTGATAGTAATGATAGATAATATGGTGAATTATAAAAGGACTAGATTCAAGAATGAGCCTTTGCGCGTAGCTCCGCACGCTTCACGCCGTTCACCGGTACATTAAGTCCTATCGCAGGGACGGAGCCGGCCCCTACAAGGGAACACCATCGTGCAATTAGTCAAGCCGCATGCAATAGGACCTCAGCTCTTGTTAACAGTGAAATAGTCCCAATCAGGTGCTATACAATAAAGGTAGTATCATACCTTGACAGCTCATTCAAGTCAACTGTCTTTACGTCCTACGGTTGCTACCCTGCACAAGCTGTGGCGAGTTTGGGAGGAGTCATGTGGCGCATGCTGACAGAATAAAGGAGTCATGACTCACACATAGGGACGAAGTTACTGACTGGTGGTTATGTCTGCCACTACCCCTCCAAGTCAACGGTCAACATTGCCAACTCCGCCATCCAAGAGCTTCTAGAACATACAGGACTCAAATCCTGATTCTACCCCAGACAATCTACCTCTACTCTAGCCTACCACCAGCAGGTAAGGTACCTAGGTAAACGGTCCCTCATCGCTTATTTCCTCAACCCCAACTTAACTTGTACTCTTTTCGCAGCCTCATCGCCTACTCCGCCCAAAATGTCCACCGCAGTCATTTCCGCCGAGGACGCCCTTGAGCCCTCTCTGCAGTCTCTCCTGGACCAGCGAAGCCTTCGTTGGATCTTTGTCGGTGGAAAGGGTGGTGTCGGCAAGACCACAACTTCCTGCTCCCTCGCGATTCAGCTTGCCAAGGTCCGACGCTCTGTCCTTCTCATCTCGACCGATCCCGCCCACAACCTTTCAGATGCCTTCTCTCAGAAGTTTGGCAAAGAGGCCCGCCTTGTCAATGGGTTCGACAACCTGAGTGCAATGGAGATCGACCCGAATGGTAGTATTCAGGACATGTTAGCAGGCCAGGGTGAGGCTGATGATGTCAATGCTGCGGCTGGTGGTCCTCTAGGCGGCATGATGCAGGACCTGGCATTCGCAGTAGGTTGAAGCCAAATATTTGTCATGTTTCTGAGCTAACATCCCCAGATCCCTGGTATCGACGAGGCCATGTCCTTTGCCGAAGTCCTCAAGCAAGTTAAGTCCCTCTCATACGAGACCATTGTCTTCGACACAGCCCCGACAGGTCACACGCTGCGCTTCCTCCAGTTTCCCACCGTTCTCGAGAAGGCCCTCGCAAAGGTATCTCAGCTATCGTCACAGTACGGTCCTCTCCTCAACGGCTTCCTTGGCTCCGGAGGCCAGCTACCCAATGGACAGAACCTCAACGATATGATTCAGAAACTTGAGTCCTTGCGCGAGACCATTGGCGAGGTCAACACTCAGTTCCAGGACGCCGAACTCACTACATTTGTCTGTGTGTGCATTGCAGAGTTCTTGAGTCTCTACGAAACAGAGCGTATGATTCAGGAGCTTGCCGGTTACGGCATCGATACCCACTCCATCGTCGTCAACCAGTTGCTCTTCCCCAAGAAGGCCAGCGATTGCGATCAGTGCAACGCCCGTCGCAAGATGCAGCGCAAGTATCTTGACCAGTATGAAGAACTTTATGCTGAGGACTTTAATGTCGTTAAGATGCCCCTCCTTGTTGAGGAGGTACGAGGAAAGGAGAAGCTTGAGAAGTTTAGCGAAATGCTTGTTACGCCCTATGTTCCCCCTGAGTAAGGCTGGTCTTAAGAGCAGGAGATAGAATAAGATTTGGAACAAGGTAGAACAGATATTAGATAGTGTCGCATATAAGGGAGCACCGGGGGCGTGGAGTTGTGAAAGAATTGTTTGACGGCTTACGATAATACACGCCAGAGTTGAGATGCACACACATTCAATCACAAAAAAAGAAATACCCAACGATTTTTTAGTCAACATTCATTTGTTTGTTTATTCATTGTTTGACCTTGGCTTGTTTCAAGGCCTTGCTCAGTAATGCACCGTTCCCCCAACCCTTGGCCATACGTAGACATGAAAACCTGCCATAAGGAATCCTCCAAGACCATACCCCAACGCCGGTCAGTTCAGCCTGACAGTAAGTATGCTGAAAAATCAAGCAAATCATGAGCCTTGAGTCCCAATCCAAAGTGCGACAACCTGAAAAAGTATGTGGCCACACCTATATACATGATGTAACTTCAGTGGCAACCAGTATTGCGATAAAAGAGACAAGGAAAGGAGAAGCAATCGCTAGAAAGAAGCATAGTCGAATCGATGTTCAGAGCTCTCGGTAGTCGCTTGGTCGCACTCTTCGCTGTTTGTTCTGGTGTCGATGAGGGTTGACTGGCTTACGAAAGTAGGCGTCTTCGTCCGCACCAGCACCCTGTCCAAAGTTGCCGTTCTGAAAGCCGTTCATTCCTCCATTCATGTTACCCATGCCATTCATTCCGTTCATGCCGTTCATGCCCATGTCCCAACCAGGCATGCCACCGAATCCGCCATTCATGCCAGGGAACCCAGGCATTCCCATCATGTTAGGCATTCCCATCATATTCATATTTGGCATGCCCATATTCATATTACCCATGTTTGGCATACCCATCATGTTGGGCATCATGGGCATTCCATTGAACATCATATTATTCATGCCCATGTTCATGCCCGTCCCATTCATGCCCATGCCGTTCATCATATTCTGCTGGTTCTGCTGGTTCTGCTGGTTCTGCATGGCCTTGGGGCCCTTGGGAATCCTCGGGTTGTCAAGAATATCATCTGCGGGCCGTTTCTTGGAGTTGGTATCTGTCGTTCTGGGCATATCTAGTTGTTTGTTCGTATCTTGAGACGCGGATACAAGGTTCTTAGGACCCGCGGGAGGGGAATTGACAGTTGCAATTTGAGACACCGGCGACTTTGGCTTTTCATTGACGGGCGAGTCCTTAGACTTGTCACTTGGTTCATTCTCAGCCTTTTGCTCCAGATTGTCGATAGTCTCTTCTTTTGACTTCTCCTGCTTCTCGCCATCTGACTTGGCATCTTCCAAAGTCTTAGGCGACGGGGGCGGAGGAGTTTTGGCCGTTTCTTTTTCCTTCAAATACTCTTGAATCTTCTTAGAAGTTTCTTCATCTGGCTGAAGGTCATCAATCAATACGCCTTCTGACTGGCAGGCAGGGCAGACGAAGTCGCTTTCGATGAGAGCATTAGTTATGCAATCATTACAAAAGGTCTTCTGACAGCATGGAGTCTTCATTGGCTCTATGAACATCTTCTTGTCAATCGAACACTCCAAGCCCTGTTCCTGAATCTCCTTGTTCTCAGCTAGCGGTGCGTTAGCCGTAGATGAAGACTTGGCTTTGGCCTGGAACTGCTCCCACGAAGCCTTGTCGGGCTCAGCAATAACAAAATCCCCCTCGGCATTGACCATGATACCTGACGGACGCTTGGATTCATCACCCTCAGTTTGCGCAAGGACAACAGACTTGTCTACCTTTTGCAGGAATGAACGTGGGATACCCGTGGTTCGTTTGACACGCGGGCGGTTGTCAAATTCAGGGTCATCATTAGTAGGACATAGTTGGATCCAATGACCTTTGTTACCACATCGGTAGCAGATGTACCCGTTCGGGGGGTCATGGTCGGGGACATTTGCCGGTCTCTTCGCACCAGCTTTGAACACGGGTGTTTGGCTGGCGAAATGTTAGCTTCGTGTAACATTGCATGGACTTCTGAAACTTACTGAGACATTTCCTCTTGTTGAGCAGACCATTGTTCGGTTTGTGCTGCAAACATGGCAGCCATTTTCTCCTCTTCAGTCATAGCATTGTTCATCTGGCTGATGGCATCGGAGCTGGGTTTGGATGAGGAGGCCTTCGCTGCTTGTTCCTTGCGGCCAGCGTTCTTGGCTGTCACCGGCATTTTCCCAGACACATAACGAGCTGCACGACCTGCGCCTGGCTTAAGAGCAGGCTGGCGTCGCGCAATGACTGTCGTTGACCTTGGAATAATAGTCGTGTCATCATCGTATTCTAGTAAGACATTAGCAGTGTTATCGCTTACGGTTGATTATGGTAACTCACCTTCGCTGTTATCATCGGTATAAATATGCAAGTCAAAATCGGTACCATCGCCTAGGCCACTCTTTGTGATAATCTCACGCTTCAGCTCAAATACTGAGATACCGGTGCCATCAAACTCGACTCTAGTAGGCTCCTTTTGAGATTTGAACTTGAAAAAGACGGAGGATGTCATTTTGGCTGATATGTGCTGGGTGTTTCCTACAGGAACAGATGAAGCACAGTACAAGTGGTAGCAAAAAGTTTGTTGAGATTCAAATATCGCAAGTCGATAAAAATCCCAAAGTCAGGTCGGGGCCGGTCGCACAAGGCACTATGTAAGTATTGATTGTTTGATTGTTCTTGCGTTTGCAAACAATGAAAGTCTTTGTTTTCTTCTCTGTTGGTTTTCTTTCTCGCACTGCCGTGCTCTTTCAACTCAAGGTGAATGGAAATAATCAATTTTGATTGTACTTTGAGGGAACAATAGTGGCAATAGGGTCAAAAAAAGAAATGGGTGCAACGAATAAGGAGTACAGCTGGCCAAAACAAGCCAGAAGAGAGACAACCCTGAAACTCCACCTCACTTTCCAGTCACCACGTTTGTTAAAACCAATGAACCAGCGACCTTGATGTTAGCCAGGCGTCCCAAGATCACGCCCTTGAAGAGCAGACCAGCAATACGTTATACGCGAGGATCTTGAGCGAAAGGGGGTAGCGGATTGTCGGCGGTCGCGTGAGAACAAGCGGATCGTGCTGAGGGGCTGCGTATCGTGGGTCGCGCGAAGAAAAAAAAAAAAGAAAAGCAACTATGAAAGCACCGAGATACGGGCAAGACGATAGAGCGCAATCGAGAGACTGCGTTGATGTCGTACTTCGCTATATCGATGGCGAGGAAGAACGTCGACGATGGATGGATGAGTGATAGGGAGAGTGGGGAGAGGAAGACTCTTCGACAACAGGGTCAGGATGGTAAGCGGCAACCTGCCCCCTTCAGCACCTGACTAATCATGAGGATGTTATGCTGAGCGCATTTAGGTTAATCCGGATGACTCCACTATAATGTGCCTAAGCAGAAGTTCTTGCCACAACTTCGAACCGAACTCTCTGCGTTATAACTGACTAATCATCTCGCACCTGTTTTACCATTGGTTGCCGTAACTAACCGGTCCCTCTGTTGGAGATTCCATTTGCACTGGAGTGCCTGTCAAAAGTGCCCCGCCATCATTGCCCGCTTGATAGAGCAGGTCCTAGCAAGTCTGCCCGTGTAATGCCCCGCACCGTCCGCCTCAATAGGGCAGCTGTTTGCTGTACTCAAGTGGTAACAGCACCACCCAAAAGGCCCTTTATCTCATTGCGAGTACCCGTCCCGCAAACTTTTCCTCAGAAACTCTGCCTTTCTTCTCGTACCTATCTCACAGACTCTATTCGTGCCCACCAAGCAAAGAAGATGGCCCCCCAGCTCGACGGTTTCTTTAAGCAAGTCGATAGCTCGGCTGACCACTTCATCGAGCGCCTGCGCAAGGCTGTCGCCATTCCCTCTATCTCAGCTGAGGATGCCCGTCGCCCTGATGTCGTTCGCATGGGAGAGTGGCTTGGCGAGGAGTTGAAAGCTCTTGGAGCCTCTGTAGAGCTTCGACCTCTTGGGAAGCAGCCTCATAAGGAGTACCTCGACTTGCCCCCCGTTGTCCTTGCACGATACGGAAGCGACAAGAACAAGCGCACTATTCTCGTCTATGGGCATTACGACGTCCAGCCCGCGGAAAAGAGCGATGGGTGGGCTACTGAGCCATTTGACCTGACTGTCGACGAAAAGGGTCGCATGTTTGGCCGTGGATCTACGGATGACAAGGGTCCTGTTCTAGGCTGGTTGAATGCTATCGAGGCTCACCAAAAGGCTGGAGTTGAATTCCCTGTCAACCTGCTGATGTGCTTTGAGGGTATGGAGGAATATGGTTCTGAAGGCCTAGATGACCTCATCAAGGAAGAGGCCAAGAAGTACTTTGCTGATGCCGAGGCTGTCTGCATATCTGATAACTACTGGCTCGGTACCGAGAAGCCATGCTTAACTTACGGTCTTCGTGGCTGCAACTACTACTCAGTTGAAATCTCCGGCCCTGGCGCCGATCTTCACAGTGGTGTCTTTGGCGGCACCGCTCAGGAGCCCATGACTGACCTCGTTAGAGTCCTGGGATCTTTGGTCAACACTGGCGGCGAAATCCAGATACCCGGTATTAAGGAGCAGGTTGCGCCTGTCACTGCGGATGAGGAGGGTCTCTATGACGGAATTTCCTTCACTATGGACAATATCCATGAGTCTCTGGGTAGCAAGACCACCATCTTCGATGATAAGAAGCGTACTCTGATGGGTCGCTGGAGATACCCATCTCTGTCTATCCATGGTGTTGAGGGTGCTTTCTCTGCTCCTGGAGCTAAGACTGTTATTCCTGCCAAGGTTATCGGAAAGTTCTCTATCCGAACTGTTCCCGACATGGACATTGACAAGACCAACGAGGCTGTGTACAAGTATGTTGAAGAGCAGTTTGCCAAGCTTGGTAGCAAGAACACCCTCAAGGTGTATGCTCAGCATACCGGCAAGTGGTGGGTTGCATCACCAAAACACTGGAACTTCTCGGCTGCAGCCAAAGCTGTCGAACGTGTGTGGGGTGTCGAGCCCGATTATACTCGCGAAGGTGGAAGGCAAGTTACTCTGACCCCCAAATGTCTGGTGTTTTACCGCTAACATAGTTATCAGCATCCCTGTTACCCTGACATTTGAGGAGGCCACAGGCAAGAATGTTCTTTTGCTCCCCATGGGTAGCTCGACAGACGGTGCTCACTCTATCAACGAGAAGCTTGACAAGCGCAACTACATTGAGGGTATTAAGTTGCTCGGCGCTTATCTACACTATGTTGCTGAGGAGCCTCAGTCTTAACTTGTCCATACTAATATAAGATATGTAACGTACCATCATATGAGAATCGAGACTATGGATTCCCTTACGAGGTATACCATTGATAGTGACACCAAATATTGCACTGCAGTCTTATGAGAACCAGTTCATTCCATCAACTGTCCGGGCCTCGTAGAACCGATAGCTTGCGTACAGCTGTCATCATCTGCATGTTGATCTCATGATAACCAAACTGACCCATGAGGCCAGTAAACATAAATATACGTACCCTACCAGCTTGCTTGGCATGGAAGCTCCCAGGTCTGGTTGGAGGGACCCTCTTTTTCGCCCTGCATTGTCCCGCCCGCCCCAACCGCCGCCCACGGAGACTTGTTTTTGCCCCTCTTTCATCACTGGTTGTGAGTCTGGTGATCGCTGCCCGGCTGAGTCGGGGAGAGTGACCAAATAAATGACTGACGACCTACCTATTCGCATTGGTATCAATTTTCTCTCCTCCCTAGACTATCTTTGAAACTCCCATCTGAAAATATCGCCGCTCGTAAACTCGGTCACGATACCGCAGTGCCATTCGCCATTGTCTTTTCCAACGTTTCGTCTCGAATGCCATCTTCGACGAAGCGAAGCCAAAACTTCCCAGGTCTCATCTGGAAGCACTTTACGCCACTTGTCCAGCTCTTGGCGCCTTCAGTGGAACTGCTCTCCACACCATATCGGTCCCCTAGCCTTCGATAGAAAGTTCCAAAAAGTCGAGAGGGCATTTCCATCTTTTCCAGGACGCCAAACTCAGTAAACCCAAAAGAGACGTCAATCTTTCCATTGCCGAGATGGTTCGCGAGAGTGGCATCTCGGCTACCAAGCCAGTCTTTCCTACTTTCTTGCTGCCCAGCATAAAGCTTCCTTTCTCCCGGCGCCACTCGGTCTCCTCGAGTTCAGCAGAATCTGCCGCATCATCAGCAGTGACAACACCAGCGAGCTCGCCCCCGAACGAAGGAATTTTAGCAAAAGCACCCAGAGGTCGATTGTCTCGTACATCTCCGAATACGCTTCGTTGCTCGACATGCTCTGTCGATGTCGCTTTTGCTTCTCAGATCATATCTAAAGGCTTCACCGGCCGGTACGGTCGTGCGTTTCTTGTGGCTCCGCCTGCGCCTCCTGCGGCCCAGACATTGAGCAACATCCGAGTTGGTAAGAGTGAGAATCGCCAGCTTGTGACAGGATGGCATGTTGTTGCAGACATCAACTGCGGGTCATGTTCAACAAAACTTGGCTGGAAGTATGTGGACGCTAAAGAACAAGGCCAGAAGTACAAAGTAGGAAAGTTCATCCTCGAGATGGAACGAGTGATCACGTACCGGAGTTGGGAGGATGCAATTGATGAGGATGCTGCAGAGACTGCCACGCCAGGCAAGGACGGCGAGGAAGAGGATATTGAGTTTGATTCTGATGACGATGATGAATGCGAAGATATATTTGCAGGGACTTGGGACCCTGAGGTCGTAGAAGAGAGGCGAAGGAGAATGGTGTCACGTCGAAGCCAGGCCGAGAGCGACGAGTAGTCATCGTTGCTGCGGTATTGTCTCGAAATCATGAACTGGGCTTGAGTTATGCATTGGACAGGCGTCAAGGGATGAATATTGGGTTGCGACAGCGGGATAGGACAAATACCCTGAAGAGAAGGATGGGCAGAAACACAGGAGCCTCAACCCATGAAGTGGTCGACTTCTCCCAGTATTTTAGAGATTGTTTTGAATCGAGGTTGCGTTTCATTTGATAAGAGAAATGACTGTCATGGTGGCGTGTAAGGCTTTTGTAGACCTGACGTCGAGACCGCCGTGTGACTGTGAGATTTGTTATGATGATGCTGGGGTAACCGACATGCCTCACCGTCAAACAGCAAATACTTTTGAAGTTTCGTATACGTCTTTATCCTTGAAAGATTCAAAGAGGGGCTTTGGCATAATCTAATGCAGTGTGCTTTTGAAGGCGGCCAGACGATGCATGCTGTAGTTTGCTAGGCGATCATGGGATAGACATAGGCATAAAGTCATATGGACAATTTAGGAAGGATATTCAAACTACCTAAGCAGAGAACAAGAGAAAGTCCTATGGGTTCCGGGCCACTGGCTCTTTACTTTTGTAGGTAGTTGATAGCAAGATCTATAGAGTTCAGCTTGACCTCAACCCCAGCATCACCTCGTCCATGTCCCGTAATTGATTCAGATACACAGCCCCACATAACAGGGGGGAAAGCTTCCGAGATATCGGCAATCGTTTGACCAAA